CTTACATCTGAGAGAAGGTTTCTCTCTTCATCACTTGCCTATTTCCTACTCACACTTAATGGTTGTGAGTAAAATTTGTTGAGTATTTTCCAGAAAGCACTTTTCACTTCTTTGTTTCTAAGGCTGTAGATCAAGGGGTTCAGCATAGGAATCACCACAGTATAAAACACAGATGCTATTTTGTCTGTGTCCATGGACTGACCAGAGCTGGGCTGTAGGTACATGAAGATGATTGTGCCATAGAAGATGGAGACTGCAGTGAGGTGGGAAGCACAGGTGGAAAAGGCTTTCTTCCGCCCTTCAGCAGAACGCATCCTTTGAATGGCAATATATATGAAAAAGTAAGAGATAAGGATGACCAGGAGAGTGAAGTAGACATTGAAGCCCACGACAAAGAAGACAACCAACCTAGTGATGCGTGTATTGGAGCATGAGAGGGCCAGGAGTGGTGGGCTGTCACAGAAGAAATGATGAATCTCATTAGAACCACAGAATGAGAGTCGGAAGATATCTGCTGCATGAATGGAGGCATTGAGGAAGCCACAGACATAGGAGCCACTAGTCATGAGGACACACACATCTGTTGTCATGGTGGTAGTGTAATGAAGAGGCCTACATACTGCTGCATGGCGATCATAGGCCATGGAAGCCAGGAGGTAACATTCGACAGTGGCGAAAACTGCAAAAAAGAAGAACTGAGCCACACATCCAGTGTAAGAGATTACTTTGTTCCCTGAGAGCAGTGCAGCCACCATCTTGGGTGCTACAGCTGATGAGTAACCCAGGTCTACAAAGGACAGATGACTGAGAAAGAAGTACATTGGAGTATGAAGGTGGGAGTCAAAGTAGATGATTGCCATCATGCCCCCATTTCCAATCAGAGTGGTGAGGTAGATGAACAAAAATATCAGGAATAGGGGAACCTGAAGATTGGGGTCATCTGTTAATCCCAAAAGGATGAACTCTGTTGCTTCTGTACTATTCTCCATTGCAGTCAACTGGAATTCAGCCTATAGTGACTCAAGAGGAGAAATCAATGAAACTCAGCTGAAAGTATAAGAGGAATTGATGGATGATATTTAAAAAAAAAAGAAAACTAATATTTGTGTAAGACATATAGTTCCATTATATTTTATAGTACTTAACCCTCCGAGGTAGGAGCTCTGGTAGTGTAGTGGTTACGAATCGGGCTGCGACCTTAATGTCAGCGGTTTGAAACTACCACCTGCTCCGCGGGAGAAAGATGAGGCTTTCTACTCCTGTAAAGATTTACACCCTCGGAAACCCTGTACAGGGTCGCTATGGGTCGGAACCGACTCGACGGCACTAACAACAACAACAACAACCCTCCGAGGTAGATGCTATTGTATCCATAACAATAGAATTGTCAGGGGACAGAACCAACATTCACACCTTTGTATTTCTGACTCCAAGGACCATAGACTCAAAGTTTGGATTCTTCTACCTGTTTGTATCATGTAAATGCAAGTTTTGATGTGTCTGAAGCATCATTTTAAAATTTTTTATTTAATTTTTAAAAAATCAAAGAGAACAGTATAAAATAAAGAGTTATTTTTGTTGTTGTGATGTGCCGTAGAGTCGGTTCCAACTCATAGCGACTCTGTATAGGGTTTCCGAGGCTGAAAATCTTTATAGGAGCAGAACGCCTCATCTTTCTCCCACGGAACCGCTGGTAGTTTCGAACTGCCGACCTTGAGGTTAGCAGCCCGATTGGTAACCACTCCGCTACCAGAGTGCCTTAAAATAAAGAGTATATATCCTTTATTCCTTCTGTTTTCCATTTTTGTCAAAAGAATAGAGCTGCCATTTTTATGTATGTACACTTAAATGGTATTAATAGCAGAAATCATAATAACAGCTTACTGTATATTATGTAGAGTCCTGGTAGACACTGTAGGATAAACACTGGACCACAAGGTTGATTTGAACCACAAGGTGGCAGTTCAAACCCACCCAGGCACTCCTCAAAAATTCTATACAGGGTCAGTATGAGTCGGAACCAACTTGACAACACTTAACAGCAAAAAACAACCTATATTACATGCCAATATTTAAATGTCAAGGATTTAATTTACTTGGCTCCACAATCAACACCCTTGTAAGCAACAGTCAAGAAATCAAATGACATATTGCATTGGGCAAATCTGCAAAAAAATCAAATGTCACTTTGAAGAATAAAGTGAACCTGACCCAAGTCATGATATTCTTAATCATCTCATATATATGTGAAAGTTGGAAAATGAATAAAGAAGATAGAAGAAGAATTGGTTCATTTGAATTATGTGTTGAAGAATACTGAAAATGTCATGGGATTCCCAGAACAAACAAATCTGTCTTGGAAGAGGTACAGACAGATGCTCCTTAGAAGTAAGGGTGGTGAGACTTTGTCTTACGTACTTTCAGCATGTTATCAGAAGGATGACCCTGGAGAATGACATCATGCTGAAAAAGTACAGGGTCTGGGAAAAAGAGGAAGACCCTCAACAAGATGCATTGGCATCATGGTTGCAACAATGAGCTCAAAAACAGCAGTGACTGTGAAAATGACACAGAATTGGTCACTATTTCATTCTGTTGGATATAGATAGGGTCATTATGAGTGGGGACTGAATCGATGGCACCTAATAACAACAACAATGTATGCCAGGTGCTTCTCCAAGGGTTTTACTTGTCTTTAACTTATTTAATCCTCACACAACATGTTGAGGTTGATCCTATTCTCATTTCACAAAATGAGAAATGATGTGTATGTGACAACAATACTCCACTTCCTCATTTAAAATTTTTCACTTTTATAAATAATGGTCCATTTTTTAAAAAACATGCAAATAGAGGATTTTGCTTTCTTATTTTAGGTTATTTTCCATGTATTTTATACCTAGTCTCCTTTTCATAGTTACTGTCTACTCCTAAAATTTTGTATCTCTTACTTGGGGATTAGAGAGCTACTATTAATTTTAAAAATAGTAAGATAGCTAGTACCCAAAGTCACAACTGGCAAGTGTTGGATATGGAATTAAAACTCTGGTCTGGTAACCTGGGTGTTGGAAAAAAACAATTATAAGGAAAAAATGTTGAAGAACTGAGAAAAATTTAAAGAACTCTGGTCAGTCTGATAGTAAATTCAGAGACTTTACCATTTTAATTACAAGTCTTCATGTAATATCTGTATGAACTCATTTAATGTCTGTATAAATTTATCCTTCAACAGTGGTTCAACTGAAGACAGTGATTATGTATGTGTGTATGTCGTTGGTACTTGTGTACTGTTGAGTTGGTTCTTACTCATAGCAACCCTGTATAG